TTTCCCTATGTAATACCGTTATTTAGCTCTTTCTTCTCCTCTTGCAGAGTGGAGAATCTTTTTCTCTCTGTTGATCATAACACCGTGTCCTTTAAAGATCTTTGCTTCCTTTCACACTACATAGCCACTGACTGTGCAAGCCTCTAATGACATCCACAGATGCTGACAGTATCTCCCTGCTCTGATTAAATTATATTCCCTCTCAGCTCCTTCTCAGGTGTTGGCAGTCCACACTTTTTTTTCCATATCCATGGTTTCCTTTGTTTCTTCTCCTTCCCCAGGTAGAGAAGCTTCTTGCTTGCTTTGGGAAAAGACCATTTATGTGGCTATGCTTTTTTAGTCTCCGTTTCACCTGCTTCACCAAGTCTGTTTTACCCTTTAAAGGATTCCTCTTGACAAGTTCTATGACTTAGCCCCTTTGACAATTTAAGAGCATTTATGTTTCATTCTTACCCCTTTAAATGACATTGCAATTTTTGCCCTTCTCTCAGGGCCACAGTTCATAACTTACAAATGTCTTCCCTGTTACAGTCTGATCTCTCCTTTTCATTTCTTATTTCAAGATTTCTTCATGAAAGGTCTTTTCTTTCATCTCTAAAAGTATTGCTGGACCTTTTCTCCTTCAGTTCTGTCATCCTTTGCACCAAGGGAAATGCTCTTCATGGCTTCCCTTGAGCATCTGTTGCAGGCTTTGGGAGCCTGTTACCCTGCTCACCCAGTCTGATTTCCCTAGCATCCTAAAGTACTTCTGGAGCCGAAGACTCCCAAATCTAGGGAGTCCCTGCCACTGTCACCCTGTGTGTTCACAGCAAGAAGGAGGAAATCAGCTAGTGGACAGAACTGCCCCGTGCTTCTCTTCCAGTCACTCCAATCATGACCTTTCTCACTGTATGAGACATGCCCAGTATAATATGGCGATTTCATCCAGAAAGTCTTCATGCTTTAGAAAAAGAAGGCAAGATTTCTTTATCTGGTGCTCCTCAGACATTTCTGACCATGATTAATAAGAGGGAGGGACTGAAAGGCTGAGGAGTAGATAGAACAGATAGAGACGCTTGTGGTATACAAATCAGAAGTTCATTATTTCACTATTGCTCTCAGCCACCTAATATGTCCAGATCTCCCTTTTTATCTCAGGTATTAATACTTAGTTACCTATTTTAAATGTTATCACTTCATTTTTTCGTATTTTCATTTTCATCCTTTTTCTCATGGAAAAATCTGTAATTCCTTTGATTTATGAATTTATGATGGAAGTGAAAAGAGAACTGAG